TGGCATCCTGGTGCCTGATTTCAGTGTTTTACAAGTCGCTTATTCCGTCTCTAAATTAACTTTCTTGTTGGTGGCGCTGTCCAGAATGAGAAAAATAATAAAAAAATAAGAGACTTGTGGCAAGTCTAAATCAGAGAGTGTCGTTTCTGGCCATCCAGAGGTACCTATTCTTAAAATAATCTCATTTGGGATGGGGAACACCCTCTCAAACCCTTCCCCCAGCTCTGGCCTACGAGTCCAAGTCCCCCTGTCAGACAGCATGCTTTGAGCGCTTTTGAGACTCTCTATGTAAAGCTCTATGTAAATTTAACTAAATTACAACTTAACATCTCCTCTTGGTCACCTTTTATATATATTGTTAAGTGCCACCAATGCAGCCATTGTATTAACCAAGATGACAAAATAACTATTGTTGCTTGTTTTTGATGATGATGACGTAGAATTAATTTTTATTAGATATTTTCAGGTTAGATGCGAAAATTGATTCTGATGAAAGTGGAAACGAAGATGATCACCCCCGACTGATAATTAAACAAGATTTTCTGAACGTCTTTAAGTCGCAGAATGTTGAGCCCTCACTTCCCCCACAGATCTTATCCGACATGTAAGTACAGTACCTCCTAGTTTCTGTTTGATTGTAATTTGGGGATTATATCACATATAGGGCTAAGGGTTTTCTGTAGTAATTTACTCGTGTGATGTTTAACTGGAAATTACATCTACATGTATTCATATGGTGCACTTAAACTCTTTCCAGATATATTTGACAAATACTTGCAATTTGGCCATATGTGGTGTGATATGGCATCATCATTCCCATTCAGTCAGTTGTCACAGACAACTAGACACGGTAGTGTGGACAAAACATTAGGACAAATTTAAAAAAAAATCATTATACTCTCCCTCATCTTTTCTTTTATTTATTTCAATTTTTTTAATTTATGTATATCTTTCAGAAAAAAATCATCTATGCAGCTTGTCCTTTGGAAACCAATGCCAGTCCTTGGGTTCTGTGAAGATGAAGTTAATGAGGAAGAAGACTTGACCGTCAGCGTAAAGACAGACACCAGTCCAAACACCGAAGATGACATTATGGCTGACCTAGTTGATGAAGATATGGACTTATGACACAATCGTTACGACAGACGCACCAGTAGATAAATGTGTGGAATTATGACAAGAAAATTTGCAGGATTGGGAGATGGGTTGTACAAAAAATATATACTTATCACTCACCACAATATCATAAGTTGAAAAAAATATATATGTATATGTACATATATCAGCAATTAATTTTATCATCTTCATTGTTGGTATCATATTTAATATCATAAATCCTTGTTATCAGTATGACCATGCTCATCAGCCATTGGTCACTGGTGGTGCCAGAGTATGAAATTGGGGGTGGGGGAAGATAAAATTTTAGGGTGGGTGGGGGGGTGGAGAAATATTTTTTTCCATAGAACTAGAGATACAATTATAATGTATCACAACACACATGAACGGGTAACGCTTTTATCCATGTGCTTGTTTTTTTTTTTATTTAAATGCTCGGTATATCTATTAAAAATGTAAATATTTTGTTAAATGATTTGTTTTTTAAGTGGACAGTGGCCTTGAAATGACAGACTGATTGGAGCAATTCATTTTGTTGGCCAATCTTAAAATGTTCAATTTTCCCGCAAAATGCGTGGGAGAAGATCTAGGAAAATTCCCCCTTGGCACACCCCCCCTCCCCGTCTAGTGCCGCCACTGGTCACTGCTGGCTGTTTAGCTCCTCAATGTCCTCCATCTTCTCATTGCTCTATAAAGCACTTTAGAATTTACTACACTAATATGTATTTTCTATCTTGCAAGTAACAATTGCATGTACAATATGTATTTTATTTTAGGTACATAATCTGCTTTGTTAAATATTCATAGCAGACTTGGCTTGTACACAAGATGATTCAATCAGCTGTAGGCTCTGCATAGAATATTTAAAAGAATAGTTGTCCTTTCAGCAGGGGTGGCGCCAGCGGAGAGGCCAGGGTCCCCCGTAGAAAAAGCATAATTTGTCGAGGAGAAAAACAAATTATATGTATTTTCTACGTATTAGTAGACTCTAAAATCGATTAAATAAGCCTTTGAAACCCCACAATTATCAAAATTTTTGGGGGCTTCACCCCTGGACCACTTTCTTAAACCTTTTAATCGAAGCTTGACCACACCCACTTTGATTTCGTCGGAGAAATCTGACCCCTCGTCGGGCGA